AGCTCAGTTACTGAACCAGTTTTGTGATATTTTGTGGAATAAATTGTACTAGAGGCCGAAACAATGCATTTTTATTTTGTTTTTGCAATTTGCAATTAATTTTTTACTTTTATTTCGTGTTTTTTTATATTTTTGAAAATGCAAAGTATATACGTACATACTATATTATATACTTATGTATTATGTATGTGTACATCTACACTTCAGTCATAGATGCCAATATTTTTTGCATAGAAAGTACAAAAGTATATAGTATATACTACGTAGTGCAAAAAATTGCAAAATTTTTTTGAGTTAGTGCAAAAAAGTGCTAAATAATAATTTTCAAATTCTGAATCAAATATTAATTTATAAGTCTGTTACATTTTTATTTAGCATAATAAAGCAAAATAAAAGCATTAATGTTATGAATTAAAAAACAAAAACTTTTCCAAAGTTCAAAAAAAGTACATGTCCATGTATATTATGTGTAAAAATTCATATTCAAACTTTTTCTAATTTTCTCTTATTAAAACATATATTTTTCCAAAACTAGGAATGTGTAAATAAATTTTGTGTATAAAAAACCATGTGAAAAAGTAAAATTCAAAATAAAAATATGTATAAATAATACAAAATTTGAACACTTTCATTGAAGAAATATGTAAAAAAAATTTTTTAAAAAAAGAACATCTGATCGGAAGAAACATTAAAGTTTATTTTAAGAGAAAATTTTAATTCTAAGTCTTTTTTTCGACCCAGCGCTCTTTTCTTAAAAAAAATTTTACATAAATTTTAAGATAAGTCTGTACGTGTATAAATCTATTTTTTTATTTTGATTTTGTTTTTCTAATAGCTACTTTTATATATGTATGTATGTACTTACTAATGTACAGGCACAAAAATTAACTACATATTTTTGCTTTTCCAAAAATTGCTGTTTTTACTGACATATTCAATAGTTTTTTCAATAGTTTCAAATAGTTTACTGACATATTCATTTCCCTATAACATATTTAGATTAAAATGGTGTTGAAAAGGCGTACTTAAAAAAAATGTGTACTTCAAATTTTCTTACTATAAGTTTAAATAAGGTCAAAACTTTGTTCCAAATTTTTCGCATCAATATTTTTCAAAATTTCTTTTGAATGTAAAATGGTGCTTACCATTTCAAAATAAAATTACTTTCTCAATTTAGTTTTGATCCAATTAACAGAAGATATGCAAACATATTTCATCTGCTAACGTTGAAAAATTTTCTTAAGTTTGGCTATTTGGCGCTTCAACAGCCTAATTGATCAACTTGACTACAAAAAAATATGTGGCGGCTTTTGAATTAGCAGAAAAAGGTACATATACTCGTATGTGCATAATTTCGTTAGCCAAGATTTTTTCAACAAATTTTGAAAATCAACAAATTTTTAGAAATTATATTTTTCAATTGAATTTTTTTTTTTCAAGAGTAATTATCAATATAGTTTTTTGGGCATAATCGGAGGCAAAATACAGATAGAGGATCCGTGGACACAAATTTTCAATTCGGAGCCAAAAGACAGCCTTGTGTATGGCCTTTTACATATGTACATAATATGTATCATCACAAATAATTATATAGACTTAGAAATTCATACAAAAAAGCGTGAAAATTTATTTTTCCAGTTTTCAGTTTTTGGATGGGAAATTTTAACTTTTCAGTTTTTAACAAAAATATACTGAAAATTAAAAAATGTATTAAAATATTTTAGTAGGTAAAAAGATCAAATAGTAACATTATAATTTCTGACTTGAACCAACATTCTTTTTAAAAAACTCAAAAATATACATTACCGAAAATTAAAAAATATATGAAAATATTCTAGTAGATAAAAAAATCAAATAGTAAAATTATAATTTCTTACTTGAACCAACTTTCTTTTTAAAACTGAAAAATATAAATTTCCCTTAAAAATCAATTAATAAAAAGCGTTTTTATGTGTGCGTGTATTAATGAAATAAATGTGGAATTATGAGTAAATGACGGTTAAACGAAAATTTATGTGGAATTATGAGAAAAAAAAATTTAACAAATTTTGACTTTGCGCTTGAATACATCTGAAACTAGGAAAATCTTTGAAGCAGCTGGCATACAGTTAGAATGAGGATTTCATTAGCTTCAAAATGAGTCTACAAAGTTAGATTTACCTGTCATATTTCCCGAGTTGTAAATAAAAATGTGAATATCAAACAGTTTTTGAATTTTCCAACTTTGAGGCCCCATAACTCGGGAACAAGGGCCCAAAAAGAATGCATGCAAACCATTGAGCCTCGGACACCCTGTATAATTCAAAAATTTTCCAAAAATTTAAAAATTTTTAAAATCTTGCATCTTTATTCAGTTTATATGACTTGATTTTCAACATTTTATTTTCCAAAGAACACTATATTTTGTTTGTTAAAAGTACTGACACCGCGTTAATATGTACACATTTTATCAAAGTGTGTGTAGACACTCACACATAGATATTTGTTTTTTATATTATTATTATTATGACAAAATAAATTATGTGTTTAAAAATCAAAAACATTTCTTATAAAAAGTATTAAAATTAATAATTTGCAGAGTAGTAATTTTCGAAGTGAAAATACTGCTTTAAAAAAAACAAGAGACACAACAATGATATACACAATGCGCTAATTCAAGGGTTAAATGTGTGAAATAAGAAAAATAATTATATTTTTTGGTGGCATGTTGTTTATTGTGAGCCTTGATTTATAAAAACTTCTTGATAAAGATTTATAAGCTTGCTTCTTTCAAGTTTTTATAAATCTTCAAGTTTTATCTTCTTGTTTCTTTTAAGTTTTATGCTGCCAAAAAATGCAACTTTTGCAAATTTCGAGAGGCGACCACTTGCGTGAGGGTGGAGTTGCAAAAATTTTTTTATTAATATCTAAAAGCTAAAAAAATTTCAGACTTGTACAACATATTTTATAGAAGGAAAATTTGGAAAAAACGGGCTATAGGTAATGGTTAATTTTGGCAGCCATTTCTTTTTAATATTTAGTTATGCTGTGGAACTGTAACAAAAAGCCAACTGAAAAAATGTGGAACTGTAACAAAAAGCTGATGGATGAACAAAGGGAAACTATAAGCATTTATTTTCAAAATTTTTAAAGAGTTCAAAAAAGTTAAAGGGAATTAATAAAAGACGAAATAATCAACATCATTAGCATCAAATTCATCAACATCATTTTTAAAATTATTTAAATATTTTTTAAAATCCTCAAAATATTAAAATTTAAATTTTTTTTTTCTTTACGTTTTGTGTTTATTGTTTTTATATTTATTTTGTGCCTAAAAAAGTCCCTTTTCAATTTTCAGTTTTTGAAAAATTTGATTTCGATGCACGTAGTGACATCTAACCAAAAAACATTTCAATTCAGTATTTCCTTCTTATTTCTGGTTTTATTATTTAATTTAACAAATTAATTAAAAATAAATAAAATTTAAAAGAAAAATTTTTATAACTATTATAGAATAGTTTACTCATTTTGAATTGTTTGTTATTGACAGCACTATATCGTTCATTCTCACGTTGTTATTTTCTTTTTCAAAATTATAAACATAAATGTTTCAATATTATTTATCACATTTTCTGGAAAACTATAAGTATTGCAACATTTATCATGTTCATTCAAGAATAGCATTTTGAAACCACATTTTGAATTTTTTCTCTTATAAAAGTTTTAAAAATTAAAAAATTTCTTTTTGTCGAAATTTTAATTTTGAGTGCAAAAAAGTGGAATCTCTCTAAAATATTGTAAAGTAGCGCTGAAATAGAAATTACACTTTTAGGGTGCATTTTAAGGTGGACAGTGCTGGAAATGCACCGAAAAGTGCCAAATCGGCATCACTGACTTCAATATGACATTAATAACAACACAAATTCCTATAAGTACAAGGCATCTTAATATTTTTGTATATTATGCGTGTATTCCAAATTCTTACACATATAAATTTCATATGGGAAGGATATATCGCTGAGCGGTGAAATAATATTATTTGTTGTTGAAAATTTAATTTTAATTTAGCTAATTATTATATTTATTTTTTGTGTTATTAAATAAAATGAAGATTCATGATTTATATCAATTAAATTTTTTCTTTTGCTGTATAATATTTAGAAAAATAAAGGTTACTAGTTTTAGGAAAAATGGGTTAAAAATTTTTTGGATTTTTTTTATGTAAATATGCTATGTAGTTAATAAAAAAAGTGAATTCAAAATTTTTTTATCAAAAACAATTTTTTTTATGTATTTACAATTTTTGTTTTACCTGAAAAATATTTTGTTACCTGTAATTTATTGTTCTAGTTTGTAAGAACATGAAATTTCATTTTTTTATAATTAAAACAAAAAAAAATAATATCTGTCGACGGCTGCAAATAGAACTATTCTAAGCTCACTTTCAATTAATGTGTTCCCTGCTTCTGTGAATGCTCTTTAACCATGCGCATGTACCTACAAACTTTTGTAAACCTAAGTTTAATAGAAATTCTACAAATATAAAAAAAACTTTTCTTGTAAATTGTTCAAGAGGCTTTTACATATTGTATTTGATGGTAAAACTTTTATTATTTGTCGGCTTTCATTTATATTGCTTGAAAAAATATAAGTTTTAACTAAAGTTGCAATAATAATCACAAAATTTTAAGTTTTTGTAAAAAGAGTTACAATATTTTCGTAAAAGATGCATTTGTTCTAATTTTCGTACATTTGCAAAACATTGCTTTTTATCATATAGTATTTATACATACTATAATATTTTACAATAAAGGTTGAAATCGACATAAACTAATTACAAACTGTGTGCGATAGTTTGTAGAATGTTTTTTATTGTAAGTACAAATACACTAAAAATGTTATTTACTTCGCGGTTGTATGTCGACTTCCAGTGTAAATTGCCATCTAGACAAAGTAAGTCAGTAAGTATTTTTAATTTTGGTTAGACGATGTGTGTCACACTGTATTTGTTTTAAACTTACCTCTGAAATTGGCGTAAGTTGCAATTATAAGTAAGTTTGAAAAAATTATTGCAACACCAATCACGGAAATCAGGGCTGCTTGAGTAAATGATTCTGCTGTAGAACCATAGATGCTAACTGCATTCATTGCCTGTAAAAAATTTTTTAAATATTTAAGAATATTGTAAATGTAATAATGAGTGTAAGAAATATTAATGTACTTATATTATAAAATTATATATCGTACTGTCGAATTTGCAAAAACCAAATTGCATTTTTAATTTATTATTAATTATAAAGCTTATTTATTTGTAAAATGGTTAAACGATATTTTGTAATTATTTTAACAAAATGCAATGCTATTTATTAGCAAACCATAACCGCCTAGTAAACAATGTTATTTAGTGTATATAATCGAAATTAAGAATGAATACGAGAAAAAAACGAAAAATATATTGAAGAATAGTGCGCTGTACGTGAACATGTCACGAAGTTATACATAAAATAAACTATTTTATGACAAGGTGAACATAGGTAATTATACCCTGCACTTCGTGAAGGGTATATTAACTTTGGTATGGAGTTTGTAACTACTTGAAGGAGTCATCTGCGGTATGGACATATATATATATTCTTGCTCAGCGTAAAATTCTGCGTAGATTTAGACGAGTCGGTTTGTCCGTCCGTCCGTCCGTCCGTCCGTCCGTCCGTCCGTCCGTCCGTCCGTCCGTTCGCACGATAACTCAAAAACGAATAATGCAATCGACACCAAACTTTCACAAGTTTTTTCCTTTGTGCCAAGGACGAGCCCTATTGTTATTGGACTAATTCGGACAACGGGTTCGGGTAGCTGCCATACAACTCAAAGAGTTTATTTTAAATATTTCAAATACTAATAAAGCTATAAATATAAAATTTTGTATACATGTGTCCAATTATATTCTACACATGCTCTAAAAATTATAATGGGATAGCTGCACCGGTTCGGGTGGCTGCCATACAACTCCAACAGCAAATTTTTTATATTCGGAAAAATAATAAAGTCAGATTCATGAAACTTGGCAGTCATGTGTCCAATTATAGGTCAAATATATTTCTGAAGTTTTAGAGGAATTGATTGACAGGTTCGGGTACCTGCCATACAACTCCAGAAGCTAATTTTAAATATTTTCAAAAATAATAAAGTCAGATTCATGAAACTTTGCAGTTGTGTGTCGAGTTATAGGCCAGATATATTTCTGAAGTTTTGGTGGAATTGCTTGACAGGTTCAAGTAGCTCCCATACAAGTCTAAAAGCTTATTTTAAATATTTGGAAAAATAATAAAGTCAGATTCATGAGCTTTGGCAGTCGTGTGTCCAATTATAGGTCAGACATATTTCTGAAGTTTTGATGGAATTGCTTGACAAGTTCGGGTACCTGCCATACAACTCCAAAAGCTTATTTTAAATATTTGGAAAAAAAATAAAGTCAGATTCATGAGCTTTGGCAGTCGTGTGTCCAATTAAAGGTCAGACATATTTCTGAAGTTTTGATGGAATTGCTTGACAGGTTCGGGTACTTGCCATACAACTCCAAAAGCTTATTTTAAATATTTGGAAAAATAATAAAGTCAGATTCATTAAACTTTGGCGGTTATGTGTCGAGTTATAGGTCAGATATATTTCTGAAGTTTTGGTTGAATTGCTCTTCAGCTACGAGTAGCTCCCATACTATTCCAAAAGTTTAAATATTTGGAAAATAAAGTCAGATTCATGAAACTTGGCAGTTGTGTGTCCAGTTATAAATCAGACATATCCGTGAAATTTCTATAGAATAGTTTCACAGGTTGGAGTAATTGCTATACAACAACGAAAGGTGCAGGGTATAATTCAATCGGTTTATACCGACTGAAACGTTTTTACTTGTTTTATTTTCATTTTTGAAAAAAATGACCTATAATATTTTTATTGAAAGTACGAAAATCTAATTAGAAATGGATTTTATTTCAAAACACGAAAAACTTTAAGTTTAAACACTCCATAAAACTTGACAAATTTCAAAAAATTTTGCTTGCAAAGCGCCTTGGATTATACTTTTTGAAGAAAACTGAGAGAAAATGATGGCTTTATTTTGATCAACAGTAATTTTTTTTTTTTCAAAACTTTTTAATTAAAAATAAAATAAAATAAACCAAATGGATCCAAAAATGGTTTTTCTAAGTTTCAATCAAAATCCAAATCTTGGTTTTTTTGCATAACCAAAAAATATTTGTTTAATTTTGATAAATATTTTGAAATTTGGCATTTTTATCACTTATTTATAAAGTTTTTAAGAATTTTTTGCTAATTTTTCCGTTTGGTTTATTTTTTTTTAAATGAGAATTTTTTGCTTTTTGAGAGAAATTTCGTCATTGTTCCCCTTTTTAAAAGTTTTATGCCAGACAGATCTATTTTTTTTGTTGCGTGATTACGAAAACCTTAAAATCGTAGAATTTTTGTATATGATGTATCTATATAAAAATTGATTTCACATGAAATTATTTTATTTGTTGACATACATATGTATGTTTTGAGTTTTTGAGAATTTCAATTACTATTTCAACTTTAAAGTTATTGATTTTTTGTTTTGGAATATTCGTGTTATACATATGCATTTTGTCGTGCGTATTCATGGCAGATATAAACAAATCATTGTACAAAAAGAGTTGTTAAATTGACAGCTTTATGAAATAACTTATTTCGTCACGGTGAAATTAATTTGTTTGGTAGAGTTGTTAGGGTACACCTTTTTTTTAAATAATTAAAAATAAAGTTTTAAAAGTTATCTAAATATATTATAGCATACTATATTAAGTGTTAAAAGTTATCAAAAGTTACTGAGTGACATTTTTTAATAAAAAATTAAAAAAACTGTTTTTTAATAACATCTATACAGGGTGAGTCTGCAACGTGGTATAATCTCTTGGGACCGGAAGTTGGGACATTTTCATGGAAAAAAAATCGTTCTCGGGGAGACTACAAATGAACATTTAACTCCCAAAATCGCAGTGAAAAAGTTTTGGTTTCAACGAAAAGGTGTTTCGACTTAAGTGGGTATGACATTATTACCCAATTCAAGAAAACTAATAAGCTGTATAGCATTACTTTTTTTGTATCATTAGAATTGCAATTTACATGTAATAAACCTATTATTTTTAGCAAAAATAACGTTTGTATATAATAAAACAAAAAAAGCGTTTGTATATAATATTGCATACAAATTCAAAAATTTTTAGTTTGAAAAAAATCAGGAGCAGTTCGCAAAATTAGTAGAACTAATATAAAGTTGTCCGGATGAAGCTTATTGTAAAACTAAATTCAGACTCAGTACAAATACATTAAAGTAAATGGGGGAAAATTTAGTCAGGAGCTAAACGCTTTGGGATCTTTAATGGATATAATTAATCCTGCGTATTATATAATCTTATTATTCCAATATTTGCATATTCCTCGTCTTCACAATTACTACTGGGGTCGTCATTGCCATATAATTAATCGACACTCTATGAAAATGTATATTCATTAATTTCATAAATTGGAAATGTTAAAGTATTAATTAAACTTAAATAATTTTTCAAAAATGTATTTATTATTATATATCCTATTATGTTCACTATTTTTACTTTTTTTATAACTGCACTTTTTTTTTAAATCTTTTTGTAATTCTTTTCAAATCTCTACAGCAACAATTTTGTTCTAACAAATTTAGAACTGAGTATATGTACATAGTAAGCAGCGTATTAAATTAATTAGAAAACTCAATAAACAGGGCTTATAAGGCTCACTCACGACTTATAATAAAGAGATAAGAAAAGCAAAGATGGGCTCATGAAGGGTGCCTAAGTAACAATTTCCAAGAGTAATACTCTAAAAAATTGACCAAAACTCTCATAAAACTCTCATACCACACTTCATACTCTCACATTTTTTTTCTTTTTTTTAAGAAGAAAAAAAGATTTAGCACTTGTAGTGTTAAAAATTCTGCTACTCTCATAGCAAAACTAAAAAATTTTTACTCTCATAAAGTATTTTTTATAAGATGTCAACTCTTATAGAATTTTGTTCTTAAAATAATTCTTTTATAAGTCTGGTTGTTAGGCACGACCATTTTAGTATTGTCATTTTTAGTTATGTAAATTTTAAATCTAATTAGACTGAGAATTCTTTTTTTTTTGGAAAGAAGTTCGAAAAATATTTATTGTACAGAAATTATTAAATCTAAATTAATGAAATGCAAAATTATAGTTTTATTTGAATATAATAAAGCTTTAGTTGAAATTTATGCACATTAGTATATTTATTACTTGCTTAAGAATTCTTAAATTTTAAAATTTATGAAATAAAAAAGAAATAAAATATCATAGGGTTAAAAAATATGCATAAACATTTTTTAAATTTTAATTATTTTTAGTTGGCGTTGCTTTTTTTCGAAGTGCAATATAAACTCTTATCAATAAAATTTTACTGCCAGCAACTTTTTGATTTATAATCATGGCAAAAAAATTATTTTAATTTCCCATATTTATAATTTTATGATATTAAGTTTTTGAATTCAAATATTTATTGATTACATATCATATACGTAAACTTATGTATATTTAGTTTCGTTTTTGTTAAAAAAATTAATTATTAAAAGCGGAATAGATATATTTTTTATAAAGTTTGAAGTAAGACCGATATATTTATTCTACAATGTATTGCTTTCTCTTTCTCCACACAACTCTCAATGTATTGAGAGTTTTCATATACCAAAATTAGTATGATAGCTATAAGATTTAAAAACTCTTTTAATGGGAGCTTAGCTCCCATTACAAGAATTGATAACTTTTAGTGTTCTACAAGACTGAAATTATAAGAGTAATATTCTTAAAGACTTCTTAATATAGCTCTACAAGAGTCTTATGAGATAAAAATTGTTACTTGGGTGTTCTGTAAGGGGATAGATGAGCTTCCCAGCAGTGCAGAAGGCTTCATAAGGTGCTTTCCAAAAAACACACCGGCAGGCTAGGCCTATTGAAACGGCCTGATGGCTGCATTACCGAAGGCGGGAAGCAAACATTGGAGCTGATTGCTTCGACCCACTTTCCTGATTCGGAGGTCATACAGAACTGGCCTAGTGCAGTCATTGATTC